CTTGTGACATAATAATGTGTATACATAGGTATTTGTTTTGTCTGTCGTACTTTTAGTTTGTAAACCGTGTTTTGGCATAATTCCATCTTTGACCCGCCGCAACGTGCGCGTGCACGAGAATACACATGTTTAAATGCGCATGAGCAACAGAGATTGCATCGATAGGGGAGAGGCCAAGATAGCGTCGTAGCAAGTCGCTTTTGCTGTAGCTCTTAAAGTTTGCTCGGACCCGGGGATAAGTTAATGTTCAGGAACTAACTCAAAGATGTTGCAAAAGTTATGAGCTAAAGAGCTTTCGTTTAATTCGTTTTTTTTTTTTGTTTTCAAGCTTCCCTGTATGCTGAGTTTAAAGACGAGTGCTTTTGATAGCTATTTGATAACTTAAACGTGTTTGCTAAAACAGCTGCACAGACTAGACGAAAACGAAATTGTAGTCGCAATACACAGCTATGAAAGGAGAAATCTAATTTCTGAAATTGATACACAGCCTGGGCAATTTGTGTCTTTACCCGAAAACACCCAAACTAAATCTTGCCAAAAAAAAGTAAACCAAGCTCTGACAGTCCTACGGTGAGTGGTGCAACACTTATGAGATTCTTGCAGAGGATGGAAGCCATGCACGGGGAGCCTTTTATTTTGATGGGGTTGAAAAAAACGGTACTTGAAAACTCAAATTCAATTAAACAGATAATGAACTCCCTCGAGTTCCAACTGTGGAATACCTTGAAAAAATCATCAATATAACAGTTTTTAGGACCTAAAAATCTCAAAAGTCTCAATGGCGGTGCCTGCTGGTACGTGATATTTCTAAAACAGATTTCTTTACAATTTAAAATGACCTCTCCATATATTTTATTTAATTAATTTATTTTTATTTTTTTGCTGGAGATACTGATGTCCTGAAAAACTTAAAACTAGAGCTGTCAATTGATTTTTAAAAAATTACTAATTAAAATCAAACTTTTTTTTTTTTTTAATTAATAGCGATTAATCACATTTAAAAGACTGAAACTTGTTATTTTGGCTATTCAAATGTAAAATTAATTTAAACGCAAGACAAAAACTATTTAAATTTAAAATATAATTATTAGAATTTTTGTTTAACTTGTAACACAGATTTCTTCATCTAAACATTATACCACAATAAACCATCAAGATCCTGACTTGACAGCCATATTAATTACAGAAATAAAAACACAGGCATGTTAGTGCCATTTCAATTTCAAAACAATCAATAAAGAATAAAAAAAAACAAGCCAATAAAGAAAAAAATTATTTTCAAGTTATTTTTCAAAAAAAAAAAAAAAAAAAAATGCCAAAATACAGGCATTGCAGTTATGGAAAATTATAATAAAAAATAAAGTATTAAATACAAACAATTGTACTCATCGTAAAGTTGTATTGCTGTGAGTTGAGAACATTAATTATAAAGTAGAACAATTTAGCTTAGTCCTCCTTTACATTCATCCAGTTACTAAAACAGTCCTGTATGTTGACATTATCGGGGGACAATGTGGACCTTTTCTTTAGAATGATGTGAGCTGAGAGTGCAACGCAATCTGATGGCAATTCGTAACTTTTTGATTTAGTGGCTATGGACAATGTCGTTTAGGCAGTTTTGTTGCTAAAGAAACGCACGTAGGCGCGCACACACACACACACACACACACACACACACACACACACACACACACACACAGAGACAAACAAGAGCTGCACGATTCTGGCTAAAATGAGAATCTCAATTTTTTTGCTTAAAATAAAGATCACGATTTTTTCACGATTCCTTAGATGTAAAATAAAGGTGTGGTAAAAACAAACATATGGCACAACCTCGATAATAATATTATGTGTAGGTCTACTGGTTTTTTCTATAAATAATTCTATTCTATATTAATCTATTCTTACAATAATTCTTATGTTGAATTATTATGTTTGAGATATATGCTTGCAATCTGTCAAATTAGACAATTTAATTCACTGGTAAAATCAGACATTTGCCATTATCAGATTATATTCAACACTATATAGGCTAGAGTAGTTATACTGATATTGTAAACATTTATTTTCATGCACAACTGTGTGTTCGCTATGAAAGAAAACACATATCAAATGCTTGTCGTAATCATAACTCTAAAATGCGATATGATCATTTAAATGAAGTGCACACTTTCGGTTTCATTTTGACTGCTAAGTGCTTGTTCATACTTTGCACGTGGCTCCCAAATGATCACTCTGTGCCACAAACAGAATATTATTTACAACTGTATTACCTGTTACTCGCAACATATGCAGGCTCTGTTCACTAAAGTAGACGCATGCGCATCTATCACTAAGTAGAGCGCGCGCGCGCGCCCTCTCTGTGATAACAGCTCACGGTCAGCAGCTCACGTCACGTGTGATTTCCCGATCGCGAAAACATTATTACATTAAAACAAAAGTTACATTTTTAGGTGAATTATTCCTTATAAATACAGTATGTGACTCATTCAACATCATTAAGGTGTCAATGTCACTGAGCAACGCGTGTAAAACAATGAAAAGACTCGTGCAGCCGCCTTTTCTTCTCTCTTGAACTTGAAAATATAATTGGCAGAATCGTAGAAATGCTGGATTAAGATCGCCTAGGGGGTCGAATCGAGATCACAATCTTTTATTGATTAATTGTGCAGCTCTCACTCACAACGCTCGTTTACCAAATTTGCTTAAACTAAGCGTTCTAAAGTATGGCTGTATTTCACAAGGATTCTGACACAACAACGTGAGGCAGACATATGCATTTAAGGGGGAAACACGTCAAACTTAATGAAACATTGGAGGGCACATGCTGAAAGGCAGAGGAATGCGCTGTCTTTGACAGCTTTTGACTTCATCTGGCACTTTATTTACATGTACATCAATACTCCGATTTTAATATGATTAAGATAATACTCTTATTGAGAGTCTACCATGTAAACTGAGATTTTTGAGTACCTTAAAGGACCACAGAGTCATGAAATGTGGAGGTTTTTCTTTCTGTTCGCCATGAGGTATCAAATTCCATTAAAACAGAAGTCGAAAGTTAAAAATGAAACACCCAAAATTGCATGAAACTGCAGAGTCTGGCGATGTTACATTAATTGTTTTATACTGAAACTTGCCTTTAAAAAGAGCTTCCTTGGTCTTGTCCATATTTCTTTGCACATTAAACACACGTTGACCACAACAGGAAAAAAAAAACTGCAACTGCGTTAACTGCGTACATTTTTTTTAAATGCGTTAATTATTTCAAATTAATACATTAAAAAAAAAACTTACATATACAGTAAGAACGATATAGCACAACATTTTGGCAATTTTATACCTTGAAAATGGTTATTATTTCAAACTTAGGCAGCATAACACTGTTTTTGGGATCTAAAAATTCATTCTTTAAAAAAATTCTCTCAAGCAAAAAGATTCCAATAGCACCGCCTGCTGGTACATAAAATATTGTCAATATTCAGAGAATTTCTGATGAACTTCACACTCAAATGTTTGCATTTCATCAACATGCTGTAATCCATTTCTTAATCAGCAAAAGTCATTTAGACTAGTTTGTTTGCCAGTTGTAGTCAGTGCAATGCTAAACGTTATTGTTCCACTATAATTTGTTTGCTCGTCTCACGTTGTCCCACAGCAACATCATATAGTTTAGAATACTGTACAATGTTTTATAATAATTAATTATTTTAGTGTCCATTTCATTTAGCATATTTAAAATTGGGGCATCCACATTATTTGACACTTTAAACCAGGGTTTCTGCAGTTAAATGTTAAACTTTTTAAGACCATTATGAATGAAATTTTAGACTCATTAAGGGCTAAAGAATTTTTCAAATGGCCCAGATGGAAAAGATTTCTATTTGTCTATCAAAAAAATGTATAATTTGTTATAATTAATAATACAACAATAAATTAATAATAATAAATTAAAATATTAAAATATTTCTTAGCAAAAGATCCTAAATATTGTGCAAAAAAAGCAAGCTTTACTTTTATCCATACACTTTTTTTACAACATAAACTATCCATACACTTTTTTACAACATAAACTATCTTTAAAATAATTTAAAAAATGAACAAATGTTTTAAAAGATTTACAATCTATAACAAACTAGATCTAAGCACAACAATCTGTCCAGGTCGATGTCCTCAGCAGCAAATACATGTAGCACGTTTAAACAAGTGTTATTATAAGAAAAATGATAGAGTTAAAATGACCTTTCTGAATAAAAAGTTTAAAGTTCTATTAAGTTGGATTGTTGGTAATTGTATGAGTTTTGGTTAGATTGGGTAGCAGAAGATGAACAAAGGAAAGTGAAGACTTGTAAAAAAAAATAAATAAATTTAAGACCTAAAACACAATATTTCATTAAATCTAAGACTTTAAGGCCTAAAATTTTGATTTTGTAATTTAAGACATTTTAAGACCCTGCGGAAACCCTGTTTAAACACAAGCCCTGGTAATTAGTTATAATGATGCAATTCTAACTGAAATAGTATCTGTGGGAAATAGTAACATCTACTAGAATCAAGTTTAAACCCATAAAGAAGTTAATGAAAAAAAAAGTTGAAATTGTGATCGTGACATATGCAAATAGAAAGTACTAAGCCAACACTATCACTGTAATAGCAGATATCTTCTAATTACTGTAGGTTAAATATCGTCAGCTCAGTTAAATTTGTTATTTATTTTATATATCGCCAGTGCTTAAGAAAGCTTTACAAACAGTAGGAGAACAAGAAAAGCAGCAACATTAAAAATGTAGAGAAAATGGGAGACTAATAATACATAAAAGAATGTAAAAAGACATGAAAACAAATAACATGAAAGAAACTCATTCCTGTCATTCAGTGAGTGCTTATGTGCATTTAGGCAAACTAGGCAGCACATTTAATTTAATTTAGTATTCTTATTATTAAAATATATCTGAATGATGATCAAATGACTGAGTTGGTGTTTGAGAATGAAAACCAACCTGTTTGTTCCTGCAGATCTTCATTTTTGACTGTGAATGTTTCTTCAATCTTCACATCTTCACTCTCCTCTTTAATAAACGCCATCTTTATAACAGTGTGGAGATCAGTCGCTTCAGCAGGAGTTTTTCTCTGTATTTGGACCTGTTTAAAATGAACAAAACAATAAAAATGTTCTGTTTAAAATAAATAAAACAATTAACAGAAACAAAATAACTTCTCTTTAACACTTGCTTCAACAGTTTCTTTATATGAGTGTAATTAACAAAAAGAAATCAGGTGAGTCAGAGCAAGAAACAATAGTCACAACTGAGCTGATTTAAACTAGTACTCCATTTCTTATATAAAGTAATGTATACTTAGAATGGAATGACATACTATGTAATAAATAAAACCTTCAGTAAAACACACACTTATTACACACTTTTCTGTTTCAAACAATAGTCCTCATTACTGTGAGTAAACTAGTACTGCGTTGTATAAAGAGTTAAAATAATATTGTCAACAGCAGGTACATAATTTAGCATCGGATGAAAAACCTTAAACTTTAATCAATCGGTTTACATCTGTGTAAAGTTTTAAAACAAACCTTAAATCGATCGGTTTATATTCATGTAAAAGCTTTCAAACAAACCTTTCTCCAGTTGAATCACGGCGCTGAAGTGGCGCAGCCTTATGACGTCACACGCCACGCCAAAATAAAAGTCTTTTTTGTTTAGCTTTTTTTGCCATTTACTGTTGCAGTCATGACTTATTGATACATTTCTTTCTCGTTTTACACTTTACACAACAAATCTGCTCTCTCTCTCTCTCACATACACAGACAATCAGTATTTAAGGTTGATTAAAACTTTTAATCCAATCATTTAGCAGAATTTTGAAAAACTATTTTAACCCACTATTGTTTAAATCAGAAAATCCCAACATTCTAAAAGGTATAACAATTATCTGATGGGTGTTTTAAGCTAAAACTTTACAGACACATTCTGGAGACACAAGATCTTAAATCTTAAAAAAGGGATGAAATAGGTGGCCTAAATGTTTTAGTTTCACTAGGTGGGTAAATCCTCGGTTTCCCCACAGACCAAAGACATGCAGTATAGATAAACTAAATTAGCCGTAGTGTAGGCTAGTTTGTTGGTGCACTGACAATTCCCAGTCAGCAAATTCCCTTTGCCCCTGATCTGGCCCAAATCAACAGTTAGTGTTCCCCGGCTTAGAACTGGCCCACATCCTTTTAGCCAGAACTGAACCAAAGTAGTGCCACAACTCCACCAAGCTTGAGCCTAGTAATACCTTTTTTTATGTGGCCCAGATATGGGTCTTGTATTCAAAATTAGTATTCTGTGTTCTGTTCTGTGGCCCTCATGTGGCTGACCACATATATTAACTGAGTAAATCACACAACAAAAATTACAATCAAATAATACTTTAATCAATGCAAATAACATTCAGATACAGAAACAATTATTGAACAAAATGTGGACAAATAAAGAGTTAGAAAATTTTTTACAACATACAAACAGAAAAGTACAAAATAGAAACAATTGTTAGATAAATATCATATATTTGATGCAAAGATGATATAATACACACATACATGTAAATGTACATTTAAGTTTATACACACACACACACACATTACAGGTCAAAGTTTGGGGTCAGTCTGATTCTTTTATGTTGGCTTAGTCCCTTTATTAATCCAGGGTCACCACAGCAGAATGAACCACCAACTTATCCAGCACATTTTTACACAGTGGAGGCTCTTCCAGCCGCAACCCATCTCCGGGAAACATCCACACACACACTCATACACTATGGACAATTTAGCCTACCCAATTCACCTGTACCACATGTCTTTGGACTGTGGGGGAAACCAGAGCACCCAGAGACAATCCATGCGAATGCAGGGAGAACATGCAAACTCCACACAGAAATGTCTGTGAATGTCTGAGAAATGTGGGATTGAACCAGCGACCCAGCAACTTTCTTGCTGTGAGGCGACAGCACTACCTACTGTGCCACTGCATTGCCCAGTCTGATTCTTGTATGTTTTAAAATAAGCTTCCCCTGCTCACCAAGGCTGCATTTATTTAATCAAAAATACAGTACAAATTGTAAAATTGTGAAATGTTATTGCACTATAAAATAATTGTTCAAAAGTAGTTTATTATTTAATTTAATCATTTATTCTAGTGATTTTAAATATGAATTTTCAGCTTCATTACTCCAGTCTTCAGTCACACGATCCTTCAGAAATCACTCTAATATTAATAATTATTATTAATAATGTTAATAGTAATAAAAGCAGTAATGACAAGAGTAATAATTTCATTTGAAACTACATACAATAAGAAAGCAGTTATTTACAATTTTAAATAAATATTTAACAATTTAAGATTTTTTTTTTACATTTTTAAATGCCGACTTGATGAACAGAATAGTTTTCTTAAAAAAAAAAAAAAAAAAAAACTGACCCCAAACATTTGAACGGTAGTGTATATGAATATATAGTGTTGGGTAAGTTACTTAAAAATGTATAGATTACAGTAGTAAAATATAAATAGATAGTAATTCATCACTTCATGTAAAAAGAAATCAGATTGCTAATTACTTCACTTTGAAGTTACTTCTAAATTGTATAAAATATATCTATAAAATACAGAATAAACTGCAGCTCTTTCAGTAATTTAACATTCACTGAAAAACATTACAATGGGTTGATCACAGCAGCTTAACATATTCAAGACATAAAGGGCCCTATCATACACCCGGCACAGTGTGGCGCAAGGCGTGACGCATTAGTCTTTTGGTAGTTTCAGCTTGGCGCAAGAGTCGTTTTGAGGCTTTGCGCTACGCTGTTTAAATAGCAAATGCATTAGCGCTCATTTGTGCGCCCATAGGCGTTCTGGTCTAAAAAGGAAGGCGTTCTGAGGCAAATATCTTTACATATGAAAAATGTAAATATTAAGGATATATATAGGATATAATAAGAATAGATATAGGATATAAATATAAAGGATTAAAATATTACAAAACATATTATTTTCTAGCCTACATAAATATGAAAAACCACTGCTTTTATGTCTTCTTCATCTCGGGAGGCTTTTTCAGTTCATTCATAACAATTTGCTTTTGTATAATGTTATTATTATTAGCAGTATTATTTATTATATCCATTTGTATATTTGTTTTATTAAAAACAAGCTTAGATTTGCCCACCTGTCAGGTTTTAGACCATATGGGGCAAAGCATGTGTTTTAGGATATAACTCAGGTTTTTTAGCACATTTTGTTATTATTATTCATTTATTCGTTTGCTGGAAATTAAAACTGAATTTAGAAATAGTTTTAAAACGAATATTTGCGCTTAACAAACAAAAGTATTTATTTATAGTCTAATTCAGTGGTTCTCAAACTGTGGTACGCGTACCACTAGTGGTACGCAGGCTTCCTCCTAGTGGTACGCGGAGGAATCGTCAAATAATGAAATAAACAATTAACACTTTTAATCCATTGATGCGTAATATAACATCGATTTGATCAGCATTGGGTGTTTTGTGAAGCGTACGATCACAACGCTGTGCTTAGAATGTTTATTTTAGTGCATTGTGTCATAAACTGTTGAAAATCAGTTTCCGAAGTTTAAGAATTGATTCTGAAGCGTGATTTGACTGACATGAAAAGTGGCCAATCACAGTCGACCTTGTCAAGTTTTGCGTGAAACGTAAGGGCGGGACAAAGGCTTTCTGAGTTGCAGAGACAGAAAAAACTTAAAAACAAATGTTTTGTAGAATAATGCTTCTCGGATGTTTTCACTATAGATATGTCTAGCAGAGTAATTAAACCGCGGACATTTTTCCTGCCTTTTTGATGATCTTCATACACGTTTCGCTCTCCGACAGCCAGTCGACTCGCCTCTGACCTGTCACTCCTCTAAAAACATTCTGAATGGCGGCGCGGGAATGGAGGTATTGCGCAATAACTCATTTCTGCAAATGTGACGAGTGCTTTATTTTAACACGAGATCGCATTAATGTACGCAAATCGCTAAAACAGACATGCGAGCTCTTAAATAGGCTTTTTTCAAATGAACTGCAACTCCTCTCATGATCGCCTATGTGCTCTGATTGAATACAATCGTGATCTCTTCACTATTAAAGTAGACATTATATTTATCTGTGCTCCTTGACTAAATTTAGTCAATAGTATTCAAAGTTATCAAGTATTTAGATTGATGCATAATCAATGACAATGCTAATGGTCTTCTTATTTGGCTGTGTTGTGAAGTGAAACTTACTTTTAGCAAAGGTGGATTTTTTTTTCTTTACGTCAAAAGAATTATGCTGGAAATGTTTCTGGATTAGGTATTTGTGTGATTTATACATTTAGCTGTATTCTGATCTGTCTTAAAGCATTACAGGTCAAAACAATCGTTGTTACTTATTGTTTATTTATCAAAATTAACAAAAAGGCTCTTAAAACACTGCTTTGATAAATGTATTGTTGTCATATTTCAAATACCTCAAATAAAATGAAGTTATTTGTTTTATTTTTTTTTAACTGACAGTGTACTTGTATTTTTTTTAAGTTTGTATTTTAGATTAAGATCAAGTGTAAAATAAAATCTACATGTGATGTACAGCTATTTAAGAAACAAATTTCCCATATTGTAAATAAAAATAGTGTAAAAATGTAAATAAAAGGCTACATTTAAATCTTTTTGCCATATACTTTAACTAAACCTTTCAAAGCTTTAAAATATAGTTTAAAAAATGGGTAAAAAGTGTCTCTATGGCCTTAAAGTTTATGTGATAGTTTTACCAGGAAAAAAATCGACCACACTTCCTTTGTTAGTGCAAATTCCTATACATGTAGCTTTGGGATTTAAGCAATTAAACCATTCAATCAATTCAATCATTTACACTTTAAAAAAAGTGATTTCATAATGAAAATCTGATTTTTTTTTTCAAAAGTTACCAACTAGTACTTTTTAAAAGAGTACTTTTTTCTTTTACCTAATATTAGTATTATTTACTACAATTTGTGTTATTTTAGCAGTGTAATACTATTTTTCCTTGAGTACAAAAAAGATTTCACAAGCATTTAGTGCAGTTTTATTGTGTTATTAATATATGATTAATAAATATTATTATTATTATTAATGGTAATTTGTATCTATTTCCATGCAATGTTTTATGGGTTGCTGAGAATACATTTCAGGTCTTCAATACATAGCATGTCAGTCTTAAAAAAACAAAATAGGTGCTGGAATTGATTTTCATTAGGCTGTGCCTGTATGAACCCTGTCATATGTACATTTAACATATATTTCAAGATTTGTCTAAAAGTGTATGAATATGACATATAGCCTATATTTATGAGGTCGAAGCAACATTTCCAGCTTTTGATGAATAGGCTATTATGAATACTTTAGATTTAAGTGCAGCAGTTTTCTTTTTACTTTTTAAGAAAGTGCCATTTTTTAATGAACTTTTAAAATTTTAACTAAAACATTTTTTTTTTTACCTGCAAGCACAGTTAATGTTCAGACTATTTAAAATATTTAAAGTGACTGACAATAATACATATTCTTAATAATAGTTATTAATCTGCATCGTTTTTAAACTGTGCACACCTGTAGCTGCTTAATTAGGCCTACAACGCTATTTTTTAATACTGGTTTAAAAATAGTGTCGTAAGGTGGTACTTGGAGAGACAATTTTTTCCTAAGGTGGTACTTGGTGAAAAAAGTTTGAGAACCACTGGTCTAATTGATGTCTGTGCGTAAAGGTTTCCCTATCCAAGAGCGAAAGTGAAAGTGATCCATTATCTCTCATTCTCACTCAGTAGATGCTCTGTTTAACAGTTTTCTGTTGAAAAACTGTTAACTGTTTGCTTGTGAAATGCTCATTTTTTTCCACTTAGACTTACTTTGCGTCCTGTAAATAGCGAATGCGCTCTTGGCGCGACGCAGCTGACTCTTGAAGGGAATGGGAGATGAGACTGTAATTGGTTTATTCTTAAAACACGCCTATAACTCATTAAGAAAATAAACTCAACCCTTTTAGACCATGCGCCGAAGCGCAAGGCAGATTTCCCGTCCTTAAATTAGCAAAAACGCGTCCTGACACGCCCTGAAAGCATTTGCGCCGTGCGCTTTGCGCATGGACCGTCAAAATAGAGCCCAAAGAATTCACCCAAAAACTTAAAATTCTCCCATCATTCACTTGTTCCAAACCTGTAATTCTTTTTTTTTAACTCAAAAGAAGACCTGCATACCTGTATCCACCGACATCCATAGTATGAAAAAGCACTGCAGTGTTTGGGTGTTCTGAGTTTGTCTGAGGTAATTAGACGAAATATATATTCCATACAAAGCCTAAAGCTGATTGGTCAGTTTTTGCTGTGTGACTCGTGGTTTTCAATGTGTATATGTATATATATATAATTTAAACAATTGCAATAAACTGTTAATGATTCTCTCAGTTAAGTTTAAAATTTTCTGCAAATCTAAAGTGTTTCAGTTTTGTGAACATTAACCAAAGCATTAGTTACTAGGTCATTATTTTCTGGCCTGCACTTGACTTCATTTTTCAATTTTTCCCATTTTCCTAAACCCTTATGTGGGATTGCCTTAGTGTTTCACATTAGCAATGTTATAGCTGAATGTGTAATAACGTTCACATAGTTCCAAACTCAACATCAGCAATACCAAGGAGCTAGTGGTGGATTTCAGGAGAGAGAAGAGAGAGCACACCCCCATCATAATCAACGGGACGCCAGTGGAGAGAGTTAGCAATTTCAAGTTTATTGGAGTACACATCGCTGAGGATTTGACATGGACTGCTTTTTAAAAATATATATAGCCTTCAGATGCAAAAAACCTTTTCTTTCTAAAATGAGCATTTTTTCTTCGCCTCCAATATTTTTGTCGGTATGTCACTGTAAAGGATTTACTGAACATACACACCGGAGCTCGCAAAATTTTAGAACACATGGCATTTAAAGGTTTTTGCATCTGAACTCTTCATATATATATATATATATATATATATATATATATATATATATATATATCATAAGATATGGAGAATTACTGTAATATTTTATTCTATTTTTTTTTCTATTTTACAACAAACGCTATGGCCAATCAAAGCCCTTATACCATCCATGATTCTTACTGTAATAACAACAGATTTCGTTGCAAATAAATTTCTGGACAACAATTGCAAAGTAAGTATTTTTATGAGTTTATTAAAATCAATAACATTACAGTAACGTTAACTTCAACACAACGCTTATGATATTTATTTGTTATAGATGGTATACAACGTTTTTTGATTAGATTAACATTAGCCGACCAAGCAAATTGAAAAGTTTTGCAAAAAATATTTTCTAGTTATTACACTTTCTGTCATCATTTACTACCATAATTAGAATAATGCTCATGCATTATTCGCACACATTAATGCATCATTTCATTAATAACAAAGCAATAACATTATAATGCTTATCACTAATTATAAACTTATAACAAAATAGCACTCATGCATTAATACATCGCTAATAATAGTCAAGTAATATGATGTTCACGAGTTAATACATCACTTTTTTTTGTTTCATGTTTTGAATAGCTTTTTTTTAATGAGATTATGCAAAAAGGTACATAAATTGGGATTGTACAAATACAAAGAAACAACAAACAAACAAACAAACAAACAAAACAACAACAATATAGTCAGGTACTGGTAGGTGCGTGTGTGTGTATGTGCATGTAAAGGTACCATGGTGGACAGGTCAGAGTACATACATAAGGGACAATAACAGTCAATAAATGAAGCAGATATCACAGATATAAATAAAAACAGATATAAAGAAACCAGTCAGTGGTAAGGAGTAACAACAATGCTTAGTAATGCATGATAGTAATAATGACAGTAAAAAGAAAGAAAGGACAACAGTAATAATAACTGACAATAATATTAAATCACAAGTACTACACCAACTACTACTACAGAAAGTTACTTATATTACAACTACTATGCTTCTACTACAGCCACAACCACGACTATTACTACTACAATGTCGGCTAGAAGACATTTAAAATGTCTAATGGGGAATTATTGTTAATGTTCTACATTTTGACCTTTTCGAATTCTTACTTTTGGACATTGTTCTATCTTTTTTTATTAAATGACGTATTGTTTAATTGAGTTTATGCTGAGCTAGGCCTAAACAAATAGATAATGACATTGGATTAACAGGCCTCCCTGTTTTGTTTTAAGACCTTGTTGTACTTCACTAATATCATGAATGTAGAATTTTAACATCTGTATTTTAGTTATCTGTTATATTTTGAATGCTGCGTGAGAAGCAGGGATGACTATGTACCACACTCAAAGAATAGTCATGGACCAATGTGCTAGTTGGCAGTTTTTTCTCTCCTTTTATTTTTGTGTTATTAATGTTGTTTTGTTTGGGGGTTGCCTGATTTGCAACTTTTAGTGTTAACTTATATAGTAACCAGTATTATACTTCATATGACTGGCCAAGTTCATTTGAAATAGTGAAAAAAAAGTGCACTGCCTTTGTTATTGATCAAGTGATATGACATTTAGAATGCAAGCAGAACTAAACAATAGTTTTTAGAAAGAATACTGATCCTAATTAATCTAGGCTCGCTGTTTAAGGTCAGTGAATTTAAGCTTTATTTATTAAAAAATGACAAGCCATTCTCGTACGTGACTTTGTTCTTTGTGTGACTGAAATGTAGGCAATGGCCATGTTTCCATCCATATATATTAATTAAAATTATGCGCAAAACTGGATTATTGCATAAAAGATATGCAAATAAGGCAGTCTTTCCATCCAACGAGTCAAAAAGAACAAAATCATCACTTCCTGATTAAACGGGCACCAAATATCAACAGTAAAAGCAGAATTTACTGCAGTAGAAGAAGCTGCGTCAATCTTTTCTATATTTAATAAATGTACTTGCGCCTTAGAAGACAATGCTGACACACAATGAACACATGGGGGCGTTTGAAGCCATGAGACACGGAGAACAGATGCTCTTGACACGCTACAGAAGCTCTGGAGGTCATTAATAATTTAATAATACTAAAACGGTTAGGGCTTTTTAGAATGAATGAGCAACACAACATTTAAGATGTGTTATAGTGTGTTATAGCCTGCTGATTCGTCCATTCACACACATTTTTATCATCATATGATCTCTTATAAAAAAAAAAACTTTTATTTAAAGCATATAATGTAATTTGTTCAGTAAGTGTTTTTATCCTAGTTTAGGTGCCTTTTTTCTATCGAATAAAAGTTTATCCTACTCATTGATGCACATGTTTTTTATACGTATTTTCAAATGTTATGTACTTCATCCCGTTTCCATCAACCGTTTTTATGCGCATCTCCAAAATGAGCATTAAAATAGGTGGGTGGAAACATAAGGCTAAAGCGAGAAATACCGCTTCGTCTTTATAAAAGGGGAAGAGACCAACAGAAACTCCCAACCAGGTTAGGTTCACAGAGTAAGTTACCACAGTAACAGTAACTTACTCCGAGTTAAAGTTACCTCTCTTTCAGAAACAGGGTTGACTTACCCTGCTTTCTCGAGTTTGATAAACCTGCCATTTTAAAACGGAAATCCCAGAGTTTCTCTCATTTCAGGGTTAAAATACTCTGGTTTTCACTTAACCTCCATTCTGAAACATGCCCCAGTGATATCCTGAAGATAAATACTAAAAAATTACACAACTGGAAAAACTACAGCAGTCACAATCGTCTGATCTCATATGAAGCAAGAGATGGCAATGACATACTATGACGTGTGCAGGTGCTGTAGTGCTGTCCCAATTCTTATGGGTAAATTTTGAAGCCCTTCCCTTTAACCCTCTTTGTACAGATCAAGAGGAAGGGGTAGGGGTACAAAAATAGAATTGGGATTGGGATTTAATCATAAACCATGGTGCTTGGCTGGAAAAAAGGTGGCCATCTCCAGTTTGGAGGAGAGCCATGACCCCAAATGGAGTTCAAGTATCTGCGTTTCTTTTTTTCCATGAGGAATGGAATGTGAGATTTAAAGATGGATCAGTGCAGCGGCAGCAGTAATGCAGTTGATGTAATTGTCTATTGTGATGAAGGAGCGGCAATGTTCTCAATTTACCACTCAATCTAAGTACCTACTCTCACCTATGGTCACGACTAAAAGCTCAAGATCTCGCATAAAACCAGACACATTTTGCAAAGTTTTATTAGCCGCTTGTTTGAGTCGCACCATAAAAGAGAGATGAGCCAATAAAATAGCCTAAATACAAATTATTTATTATAAATGTAACTCATAGAACAATCAATTAAAGCAACCAACAAATATCTAGGGATAATAAACAAGATAAAGAACTTAGGATATAATCATAACAACACATTGACTACATGATACAAGTAATGCAAAACAAAACCATAAGGTTAAAGAGTCATTGAGATGGCAGGTCTGAGACATGAGGACTCGTGAGTAGCCACAGCGTTCTGGGGTAGCTAGCATAACAACTTTTATATATCCATTGATGGGTAATGCAGGCATCCAATCAGGATTCACCACAGTGTATTAATATTGTAAAACTTAATACCTGTCGCTTTGCCTAAATCATAAAACATGCATTTAGTTTGTATTCTACTCAAAAAAGTAAAAGTAGTAAACTAGAAATAATCCTGAAGCTAAAAGTAAAGAAACTTTAATAATAAAAGATGCAACACAGGACAGTTGAATTGGCTTTCTAAACTTGAGGCCATGGTATACAGCAAACTAACCCATCCTGGAGCTCCACCTTCTTTGATGTGCGGTGTCTTCCCAGTGATATGCTTTTCATTCAGGGAGTCAGACAGAGAACATCATCCAAAACAACACTAGCTACATGAATACACTGAAGAGTAGAGTACAGATGTATCCGCACCTGTACAATCACTTGCACACATTTACAACCCCACCTACTGCAGTGTAGGAGTGTTGGAAAACAGTATACCGTCACTCAGCCTTTTCAAACACTATTAAGACAAGATACATCCTTTGCACATGAGAAAATGTTTTGCTGCATTCATGTCATGTGTGCAACTTTTAGTCTATGTGTTTCTTAAGCTGCGCCGAATGAGAAAACTCTGTAGACACTGATCAGATCTGTATAGTTTCTTTCCAATGTGAATCCTCTTCTGTTTTCGAATGCGTTAACTGATCCAGTACGGTTACTCCAGTAAGTAAGTTACGGTAACTCCAGTAAGGTTTGCTGATCGGTTGAAACTCTTCCCACACTAAGTGCAAGTTAATTATTTTATTTCCAATGAAGAGACACGCACATGAGGCAACACGCATGCACCTTACAGCTGCTCCTAGTTAAGATCACAGGAAGCTTCTGTGAATGCGAGAAATGTGAACGGCTGAAGTTTAAGAAAGACACAATGAAAAGTACACGTTTGCGAACCTACCTAAAGGTACAAACAATAATTCCGATTAGAGAGATAATGTGGAGGGTGTTTCTTTAGTGATATCGCTTTAAATCACATGCTGAAAATGGCGGACGTGAAGCAAGAAACTGAGGATATGGTGATGCGTCTGTCAATCTATATTGGTGGGTGGGGGGACCACACTCCTACGTCAAGTTGCGGTCACACTGAAAACTGCTCCAATTGGTCCATTGTTTTTATGTTGTTAAATTGAAAAAAAAGGACTGGGTTTGTTTATATCACCCCAATATGACGGTCTATACACTAAACCTACACATACATCTGTCCAAACAGCTTGAAAAGTAGATTTTTCACCATAGGTGCCCTTTAAGCTCTGAAGAGTTGCTGAAACTCATCCCACACCTGCGATCACACTAGAGTTGCGGTGTGCGAAATTCTGTTGTACGGCGCTGCAAAAAGGGGCGAGATTAAACAAGATGATTAGACATTAAAAAAGTAAGCGATTGGTCCATATTTTACATTTCTGTCCAGAGAGGTCATGTTTAGATCTTTGATTGGTCTCACACAGTCAAGTGATGCGATCTCGCAGGTCTGCAAAACTTGATGCACAAACTTGCATTTCCGGTCTGATGCATTCGCAATTTCGCATATGTATGAATGGAAGTCTATGGGGAGAAAAGTCCAGTGTGACCGCGGCTTAAGTGCAAGTGAATTGTTTCTCTCCAGTGTGGCTCAATAAGTGTAAATTAAGGGATGATGATCGGCTGAAACTCTTCCCACACTGAGTGCATGTGAATGGTTTCTCTCCAGTGTGGACCCTCATGTGTAGATTAAGGTATGATGAGCTGTTAAAACTCTTCTCACACTGAGTGCATGCGAATGGCTTCTCTCCTGTGTGGATCATCATGTGTTGATTAAGGGATGATGATTGGCTGAAACTCTTCCCACATTGAATGCATGTGAATGGTTTCTCTCCAGTGTGGATCCTCTTGTGTTGATTAAGGTGTGACAAGTGGCTGAAACTATTCCCACATTGAGTGCATGTGAATGGTTTCTCTCCAGTGTGGATCCTCATGTGTTTATTACAGTTTGATGATTGGCTAAAACTCTTCCCACACTGACTGCATGTGAATGGTTTCTCTCCAGTGTGGATCCTCATGTGTAGATTAAAGTGTGATGATTGGCTGAAACTCTTCCCACACTGAGTGCACGTGAAAGGTTTCTCTCCAGTGTGGATCATCATGTGTTTATTAAGGAACAGTAAGCGGCTGAAACTCTTTCCACACTGAGTGCATGTGAATGGTTTCCCTCCAGTGTGGATCCTTATGTGTTGATTAAAGTGTGATGATTGGCTGAAACTTTTACCACACTGAGTGCAAGTAAATGGTTTCTCTCCCGTGTGGATCATCATGTGTTTATTGAGGGATGATGATTGGATGAAACTCTTTCCACACTGAGTGCATGTGAATGGTTTCTCTCCAGTGTGGATCCTCATGTGTTTATTAAGGTGTGATGAGCAGTTAAACCTCTTCCCACACTGAGTGCATGTGAATGGTTTCTCTCCAGTGTGGCTCATCATGTGTAGGTTAAGGGATGATGATCGGCTAAAACTCTTCCCACATTGAGTGCATGTGAATGGTTTCTTTCCAGTGTGGCTCATCATGTGTAGATTAAGGGATGTTGATCGGCTGAAACTCTTTCCACACTGAGGGCATGTAAATGGTTTCTCTCCAGTGTGGATCCTCTTGTGTTGATTAAGGTGTGATGATTGGCTGAAACTCTTCCCACACTGAGTGCATGTGTATGGTTTCTCTCCAGTGTGGTTCATCATGTGAATCTTAAGTTTGCTTTTGCTTGCCAAAATCTTTCCACACTGAGTGCAGGTGAAACGATTCTTGTCTTTCCTTTTCAAAATACCATCAGTCTCTAAATTAGTTTTTTCCTCAATTTTGACATGATGTTCCTCCTCTTTACTCCCCTCATACTCTTCAAGTAGGTCTGAAATAAATAAAACATTAGTTTTCATTAAATTTTAAAAACTCACCAAAAGCTGAAAAATGAAAAGACACTGGAAACATTGACTACACACACTGTAATTTTGATGCACATTAAATGTAAATAAAACATCACATTTTGTTCTGTCCATTAAAAAGTGCACATTTCAGCATATTCAATTTATTTTTGTTTATCTAGTGCTTTTACAATGTAAATTGTGTCAAAGCCGCTTAATATGGAAGTTATAGTAAATTGAAACTGTGTCCGTCCAGTTTTAGAGTTTCTTACATAATTGATCATAAAAGTCATTTTGGTCATACTGATAAGACACAGACTTGAAAGCTGTAAATGGCCTCTTTTTATTTGTATATATTCATAATTACAACAGAATGTTTTTTTCTAAAATTTGTAAAGCAGACAGGGAATACTTGTTCATTTTGTGCCTGGCTGGTAAACGTATAAGAAAAAAAACAAAGTTCTGGGGTAACAGCTGACCAAACAGCTGAATAGTTACCTCGCAGACGTAAGACATACCTGTACAGCATCTGCATAGAGGCTGGAATGTGCACCTTTCCTTTTGTGTGCTGTTGGGTCATTTTCATCCATTCCGGAATGATTTTGAGACTTAATTTTGCCAAAACTTTCTTGGTGTTTCAGCAAACAGACTGGTATTTGGGGACATCTTATTTTGACATATTCAGGGAAAATGCTTTGAAATAAAAAAAAAAAAAAAACTGAATACACTCTGGGCAAATTTACTTCCTTTTCGTTATATTCATGGCTGATTTTTCTTTATTGGCCTCTATTATAACAACTTTTTTTATTGCAAATCCATGACAGCATATAATCATGCATTTATGATTGTTGGTGTTTTCTGTTGGACGACAGTCAATATTGTTTAATTGGTCTCCACCCATGGGATGGCAAAAAGGAACTGGGTTAAAGTATAAAGGAAGAAAAGAGTTAAAGAGGGCGGCATTATGTGGTGTGCGAAAGAAAGAGTGCTGTCCTGAAATCATTTGCATTTTTTCAATTAACATTCATTTGAGTTATAAGTGCTGAAGGTTTTGTGTTTCTTCATGATCATTATTATATTGTTTGTTTTGTTGTTGATATTGCTGTTTGTGTGTGAAAACAGGGTACCCCATGATCCTCCAATTGAAACTCAAGGCTTTTAGGAACTTTTTAATTCCATTTTTAAAGAAATTCAATGCCAACTTCGTATCGATTCCGACAGAAGTGTGAGGGGAAAAATGTCAAATCTGTATAAATTTTCAACCCTAGAAATAATTACATATAATCCATACACACACACACACACACAAACACACGCATATGAAGGAATAATAATTTTAAATCGTGATTAACATATTGATTAAAATAATCGTGATTATCATTTTCTTTTTCTGTTATCGTGCAGGCTAAAAGGGTAGTCAATTTGAACAATACACAAGGATTAATTGAGCCTTTTTGAGAACAAATGTTCTCTGCTTTAATAATCTGCACGAAATGAACAATTATTAACCAAAATCAATCATTTGGATTAAATTACCCTTAAAATCCTGCTCATTTTTTTCCGCAAATTATTGTTATAATAAAAAAAATTAAGCAGCCTACCCTGTATAAAATAACAGTAGCAGAACTAACTTTGTAGCTACAGCACGGCATAGTCAGCACTGGTAAAAAAAATTTTTCTTCAAAATTATTATTATTTTTATTCCTGTTGTCAGACTTCACCTTCACATAATTACACCTGGATGAATCCATCAAAACTAACAGCTAATCAGAACAGTCTGTGCGTGTAGCATCTCACCAGATCATATGAAACTGTCTGTCAAAATCTGAGGTAAATCTTAAATGAAGCTAGACAAGACAACCGACTTCCTGTTATGGCGCCTTGCTGAAGAGACGCACGAGTAATATATTTTTTAAAAACCCTAAATTTATCTCGGTGTTATTTAACACTCGATGTCAACTTACTCTAGACAGAACACTGCTTAAGATGTCACCTAGACCAGCAAAGCAAGGCGAAAAAAACGAAACTACAGAGATTACATCTGACTCCGAAAGCATGGAAGAAGCGCGAAGTGATGGCAGTAATGAAACTGTCCTCTCAGCAGTACAGGATATCAATACCAGGTGGCAGAATGTTTCGGAAGACTAACACAGACACAAGAATGCATCTCGCAAAATGAAGATTCTGTCTCCGCTCTTCAATCAATGACAACCGCTCTCGAAAAAAGAAAATTACCACACTAACTTGGAAAATCGCAGTCGACACTCCAACTTAAGGATTCTTGGTCTACCAGAAAAACAAGAAGGCAATGATGTATGTACATTCTGGTTACCTAAAGGCTGATTTATACTTCTGCGTCAAACTCCGGCGTATGCTACGGCGTTGACGCAAAGCCCTTCGCCGTGGCCGTCGGCATCACTGACGTGCACCTCTCAAAAAATGTAACTACACATCGCAACAACGCATAGCGCAAGGTCTGTGATTGGTCGGCTTGGTAGCGCTGACGAGTCTGGGTGGGACCGGCGGTGCTAGCCCAACGGAGCGATTGTTTACAAGTTGGAGTCCCGTGATGGCGCTCCGGATGGAAAGTTTTGTTTTGTGTTTACCTCATAGTTAAAGTTCTTGCACGTCTGCCAGTTCCTGCCTCATAATGAGCGAGTTTGAGCCACTTGTACATTCAGGAAGTGTTCAGGAAAAGCAAAGCAGCAGCGAAGAAACTCGACACAGAGGAACATTTACACCTCACTGCCAACTAGCATTTCGGAAGTGTTAATGCAGACCAACAGAGACAGCGCGCAGAAGTATAAAAGCACAGCTACGGGCCTTGCATGCGCCGTGGGTTATGCCGGTCACTTGACACAAAAGTTTAAACCAGGCTTAAGGCGCTGGACATGGAACCACTTAGGAAACCACAGGCCATAGAAAGAGCCCACAGGATCGGTTATATGTGGAAAACTGTAGCGGACACGAAAACAACTCAGAGTAATGATTGCAAAGTTTCTGGATTACAGAGACAAAGAACACGTGATGTGTGCGGCTAGAACAAAGAAAGAGCCTCAGCCTCCTTTCTATTAGCTTTATGACAGAAAAATATTCTAGAGTGTTTAATACAGCTACAGTAATCAAATATTAACTTTTCAAAGAATGTTTCTGTGTTTAATTATGACTTTGGACAGAGTTCTTCTAGCTATAGAAGGATTACAACTTCTATAAGCCTTATATACTAGTCAAAAAACATTTGCATTGTGGCCTTAAGAAATTAATGGCAGGAAAATTTAATTCATGAATGGTTACATAACATAAAAAGCATGTTAAAGAGAAGTAAATTTTTTCATTACAATAAAAGGTAGGGTGGCATGTGTAATTTAATGAACTAACAAATTTTCTTCTTATTTATTTTTTCTTTTCTTACCTATTCCTTATTTTATATTTCTTTCTTCATTGATGCAGATGTGTAATCTGTGATTAAAACCTCCGCCTCTGTAAAGTGCGTTGCCCCTTTTTTCTCACTTTGACTTTTTTTGGTAACTCATGAATTCGGCAATCTACTGAAAATGCCTTCAGGTATGCGCCTTGCGTGGGCATTAACCTGCAGTTTTCTTCAGGAGGTTGATTTAACTAACTCTTATCAGCTGTTTTGGAACCAACATACAGTAAGCAGGTTTTGGGTAAATCAACCGAGAGTTCAGGGTTTAGCAGATAGTAAGTTAACCCAGCTTTCCGGAATACCCCCCTGGTCTCTAATCTGAGCTGCCGAAACCTGCAATTTTTGAGGCTGGTGACTCAGATGAACTTATCCCCCGCAGCAGAGGTGACTCTTATGCTGCGTCCCGAAACCGCATACTTCCATACTATACAGTATGCTAAAATCAGTATGCGAGCCGAGTAGTATATCCGAATTTATATAATTTGAAAATCAGTATGCGAGAAGTACCCGGATGACTTACTACTTCTGGCAAGATTCAAGAGTGTGCATCCCATGCACGCTGCGCTATCCCATGGTGCCCCGCGAGCGAATTCATGAATGGGAGTAAAGCGACGCAATTGACGCAGGTAGGTCACTTGACCATGACAAAATGGCGGATGTAATACGTCCGAATTCCATTCATATTTTTTACATTCATACTGTATAGAACGTACTTTTCTAACGGTCGAGTAGTACATTTAAATTCTAATGCAGTACCTACTGAGTAGTAGGCGGTTTCGGATGCAGCCATGGTCTTTCTTTCCTGGGGCAGTCCGCATGTGAGACAGTTTCTTTATAGTGCTTGATAGTTTTTGGGACTGCACTTGGGGACACTTTCAAAGTTTTCCCAATTTTTCGGACTGACTGACTTTCATTTCTTAAAGTAATGATGGCCACTGTTTTTTTTTTTTTTTACTTAGCAGCTTTTTCCTTGCCATAATACACATTGTAAAAGTCTTTTCAGTGGGACTATCAACTGTGTATCCACCTGACTTCTGCACAACACAACTCATAGTTTCAACCCCATTCATAAGGCATGAAATCCCACTTATTAAACCAGATGGGGCACACCTGTGAAGTGAAAACCATTTCAGGTGACTACCTTTTAAAGCTCATCAATAGAATGCCTAGGCATGAATAGAAAGAATGTGCAAAGCAGCAATTAAAGCAAAAGGTGGCTACTTTGAAGAACCTAGAACATGACACGTTTTCAGTTTCCCCCCTTTTTTTGTTATATATATATATATATATATATATATATATATATATATATATATATATATATATATATATATATATATATAAATCCACTTGTTTTAATTCATAATTTTTATGCCTTCAGTGTGAATCTACAATTTCCATAGTCTTGAAAATAAAAACTCTTTGAATGAGAAGGTGTGTCCAAACTTTTGGTCTGTACTGTACCTTGCAGAATATTTAATTTTTGGGGTCAGTAGAAAACCAAGCTTTTTTTGTGCTTGTGGCTTTAAATGCAAATAATCAAATGCAATCGCTGTAGATTACTTATGTTGTGTTCCCTTATTTATATCTTCCACAGGATTTGAACATTTGTAACTTTCTTACCTGATTAAGACAGATCCTGCATGTTCATAGCCAGTACGCACGATTCACACTAATATTTGTGAGTTTGCATTATTGTATATAAATTAAGCAAATGTTTCCCAGTACTGGGTTGCAGCTGGAAGGACATCCGCTCTTTAAAACTTTTCTGTGACCCCTGATGAAAAAAGGGACTAAGCCAAAGGAAAATAAATGAATGAACTTGTGCAAATGCTTAATGCCACGTTTGCTGTAAACTGGAGTGAT